CCGCTGACTGTACGAAGCTCTTTGATGAGGGTTTGGAGGCATGGGGTTTGAAAACCAAATTTGTGTATGCTAGCTAAATATATGAAAACCTTAACCCCAGCTAAACCCTAGCTAAACCCTAGCTAAACCCTACAAGCATATGTTCAGGTTGAGTACATGGGCAAAACCCACAAGGTTCACTTTGCTTACTTGGGAGGCAAAGGCGACTGGCCATGGTTACGCAAGGCCTATGCACTGTACCCGGGCTGGAGCTCTAAACGTGTGTGCCATTTATGCAACCAGCAGGACGCGATGTTATACAAATTTGTTAATCTTGCAGCTCTTCGTCGGATCAGCTAGATAAATCATGACAGGATTGGTACAATGCATCAGCGAGTTCAGCGGTTCGAAGCACGTGGCACTATGGGTCCCCCTCGCCACCTCCATGGAAGAGAAACATCTATAGCCCGCTACGTGCAATTCCTGGTGCAGACTGTGGTCATAGAATCAGGATTGACCCAGCACACACGTATGCAATTCAGGGCTTCGGGTCTATGCTGGCCACCAGTACGTGCATCTTGCTATGCCACATGGGGCTGGCACCTGGTCGATCTGTGAATGCTAGACTGAACGAACTATACATGAAGTTCAAGGCATGGTGCTCGCAAAACCGAAAGCCTACGAGCTTGACCGGCCTCACGATGAAGAAGATGAAGATGAAATCGCTTCCAGACCTCAATATTCTTATTTGGGCTAGTGCATCCCAAACCATCCCAAGCCATCATAGCTATGCCTAGCCTATGCTATTAAGAATTCCAAATGGCTCGCAAACCTAGCTTTTTGAAATCACCGAATATAGCTGTCGAGGTTGAAGGTCTATCCTGCGGGTACTGGCAAAGGATTTGACACCATCGTGCTGCTCATGTGGCTGGGTAGCTTTTTGCAACCACTCCGTCCTGAGACGGTTGCTACTTAGCTGTTTTATGGTGCAGCTTTGATTTGTTCGTATATAGCTGCAACCTGAAACTTGAGGCTGCTCGCTACCAAGATTTGCTCCGGGTGCTTCAATGGACTATTCAGAGCACGAACTCGTTCTATCGAGGACTTTACCAGCACGGAATTTGGATCCCGGCAAGTGTTGCTTGCAATATCGTTGGCTTCGGATATGACATGACAGCCACTTGCGAGTTGTTAGCTTTGCTTCAGCTAGTATCAGCCCTGTTTCCAAACCCTAGCCACGCACATTAGCTATGCTTAAACCCCAAACCCTAGCTAAACCCTAAACCCCTAAACCCGCAGTATAGAGTTCTAATTGAAAAAACATAAGGAGGGGTACACAGCACTGTCGACGATGTGCTGCAGATTTGGTTTCTCATTGTACCGTGTGAAACCCAAGCTGCATATGCAGATGCACCTGGAGAAACACGGTCGCACTATATTGTTCCCATCGCAATTTCTGAGAGATATTAATAAAGCTTATCACCCGAGGCGGGAAATGGAACTTCAGCTTCACAACCCCTCCGGCTTCGTGCTCAACGCTTTATGTTGCTAGCCTGGCTTTTAGCTGATGTTAGCTGGATCCGTAATTGTTTACTTTCGTCTGATGGGAGAAATATTCTAAGGTTTCAGCTGCTTTACTGACGAAGATTATATTGGAAAGTGTGCACGCTTGAGCAGACGACAGGCCACCGTTACGGTGGCATTTAGAACAATTCGTGCTTGCTTGGCTCTGTATCACCAGATATGGGGCAGGGAGCTTCGCCGTTGAGAAGAAAGAAGCTGAGGTTGCGGCATTCGCCACCAGATCTGCGCATGAAGAGCTTGATGTAGCCGAGGGTCGGAGAAGTACCCCCCAATCCCTTGAAATCCCAGCCCGACACCCTAAGAGTACATTATATAGATAAATATGAATTATATATATATATATATATATGTATACCGAACCATATAGGGGTTTCGTGGCAGGACTGTGTAGAATTCTATATATATATATATATATACATATGTATATATATATATATATATATATATATATATTCTATTAAGCTAGTATAACGACGACATTAATGGGATGAAGTAGCTTTGTCAATCGTCACGCACAGAAATCCGGAAAACGCATGCAAACCCATATGATTGAAGGTCACGCGGGGAAATTTTAGGGTACGGAAATTTCCATAGCAAAGGATCCCCTAGGTAGATAGATATATATATATATATATATATATATGTATATTATCGATATATGCATTTGCCAATCCCTCTGAAGGGTTGCCAATTGACCTACTGCACACCTACCGATTACAACATAGAACACTCGAAAAAGCAAATCCCTCTCATGGATTGCGCGGGGCACCTAAAATGTGCAACTTTACCTGGCGTTTCAACGCTCGACCAAGCCAATCCCTGTGAAGGGTTCCGCGGGCACCACAAAATGTGTAACTTCACCTCGCGTTCGAACACTCGACAACGCCAATCTGTGTGAAGGGTTGCAAAATTCATCTCAATGCTCATCCAAAAATTGCAACTTTACCTCGCGTTCGAACACTCGACCTTTGCAATCCCTGTGAGGGGTTGCAAAATTCATCTCAATGCTCATAAAAAATTGCAACTTTACCTCGCGTTCAAACACTCCACCACGCCAATCCCTGTGAAGGGTTGCAAAATTGAGCTCAATGCTCATCACAAATTGCAACTTTACCTCGCGTTCGAACACTCCACCACGCCAATCCCTGTGAAGGGTTGCAAAATTCAACTCAATGCACATCAAAAAATGCAACTTTACCTCGCGTTCGAACACTCGACCATGCCAATCCCTGTGACGGGTTGCAAAATGCCAATCCCTGTGAAGGGTTGCAAAATGCAGTTGAGCTGCGCCCAAACCCTGTGAAGGGTTGCGCGGCGCGCGCAAAATGTGTAACTTTACCTCGCGTTTGAACGCCCGAGGAGGCGAATCCCTGTGAAAAGTTGCGCGGGAACCGCAAAATGTGTAACTTTACCTCGCGTTTCAACGCCCGAGGAGGCGAATCCCTGTGAAGGGTTCACCCGGGCGCCTAAAATGTGTAACTTTACCCCGCGTTTGAACGCCCGAGAGTTCCAATCCCTGTGAAGGGTTGCGCGGGAACCGCAAAATGTGTAACTTTACCTCGCGTTTGAACGCCCGAGGAGGCGAATCCCTGTGAAGGGTTGCGCCGGGCGCCTAAAATGTGTAACTTTACCTCGCGTTTGAACGCCCGAGGCAGCGAATCCCTGGGAAGGGTTGCGCCGGGCGCCTAAAATGTGTAACTTTACCTCGCGTTTGAACGCCCGAGGCAGCGAATCCTTGTGAAGGGTTGCATTCCCGATGGACGACAACGGTGCCACCCCCTGGCTTTAAAAGAGAGAATTAGATACCGAGATGTAGAGAGTAAGTCATAGAGGCATAGAGTCAAGTAAGTAAGTAAGTAAGTAAGTAGAAGTAAGTAAGTAGGTAAGTAAGTAAGTAACTAAGCAAGTCAAGTAAGTAAGTAAGTAAGTAAGTAAGTATAAGTAAGTATAAGTAAGTATAGAGATAGCATAACATAGAGTCCAGTGTCAAGTGTCAAGTAAGTTAGTAAGTAGATTGAAGTAAGTAATAGATTGAAGTAAGTAAGTAAGTAAGTCGTAAGCATAACAAAGAGTCAAGTATCAAGTGTAGAGTCAAGTATCATAGAGTCAAGTGTCAAGTGTAGAGAGTCAGTCATAGGGGTAAAGTAAGTAAGTAAGTATCAAGTGTAGAGTCAAGTATCAAGTGTAGAGTAAAGTACGGAGTCAAGTAAGTTGATTCTATGTCTGTCATCTATGTACTCAGCTGCGGCGTTCCACACGGAAGAACCCTTCGCGATGCTTTCGGGAATTGCCAATAAATATTTGGGGGTTCCTTATTACATATTAGTATAATATCAGAACCCTTTTCTATGTATTGAGGCCGCTATAGTGGCTTCTTTCGGCACGACCTTTCGCCGTTTCAGGGTTCGGGGTCGGGTTTGGGGCATAGGGTTTGGATTAGATATAGGATTTGGGGGGTTAGACTCCGTTGATTTAGCGAGGTGGATACTTTCCCTAGTTTAGCCCAGATTCTGATCCGGTTGCCTGGATGGATGGTTCTACATCAACGTTTGGCCTGGCATCGGGCTTTATTGCTTTCGTTCCCTGGTGCTTAGTAAGGAATGGGGCAATGGATCCCTATAGTGGTCCAGTAGTAGTTCCCACAATCCATTCCCCCATTCCCTACTAAGAACCAGGCAGTTATTGCTTTGGGGTTCAGGTTTGTCAGGCAATCGGGCTCGAACCCTAAACCCAAGAGCCCTAAGCTCTAAACCCTAAACTAAGCCCTAAACCCTAAACTAACCCTCAGCCCTAAACCCAAAACCAAGTCTTAAACCCTAAACCCTAAAACCCTAAGCCCAAGGTCAAGCCACTGATCTCCTTGTCTGCGCCACGGATCATTCGCTGCGGCCTCTTTGCCATGCAAGCTCTTCGACATGGGTGTTTCCGAAAATTAGGGGTTCCTAGTATTGGGGTGTTCCTTAAAGGGATCGATAGGGGTTTCTATAAAGGGTTTAGGGTTAGGAGTTTCCGACAATTAGGGGTTCTTCATTTTGGGGTCCTGACTATGGGTACTATATTGGGGTCCCAAAGTTTTCGGAAACCCTCACATAGGGCTCTTAGGAACGAGGGTTCGGGTTTAGGGTCATAGGGACCGGTCTTAAGTTTAGGGTCATAGGGACCTTAAGAACGAAGGTTCAGGGTTTAGGGCTTGAGGTTTTGAGGCTAAAGTTTTTGTCAATAGTTCTCAGCTCTTTGGCATACATAATAGGGCCCTTAGGAAAGATTCTCGGATTCCCGGAGGTTAATGTTGTTCCGTATTTTTGGCTTCTACTTTTGCACTTGTAGTACTAGGTTCCAAACTGTAAATTAGCACACGGTAGACCTAAGCACGTACCTTGCCTGACTCAAAGAAAGGCGAATTCGGCCACGAGACCGTGGTCAAGATTCTGACGAACATGCTTTGTGCTGTCCAAGACTGCGCTATGGGTGAGGCTGGCAGGTTGTGTGTTCAGGTTTTTGAACCACTGTCAAGCCTTCTTCTTCGTCTTCCAAACGAGATTGGTGAAAACGCGCCACTGGACGTAAAGTCCCTAAGGCACAAGCCTGGAGAGCCTTGAACTTCAAACCTTACATTCAAACACGTAGACCGTTTAGGTTTCAAGCTTGAGCCCCCAAGCCACTTCCCCGAGTTGAAAAGGGTAGCAGCAGGTTGTGGTTGTAGTTGTTCAGTGTGCCCTTTCTCTGTCCTCTGTAGGTCATGATGATTGCGAAAAAGAGTGGTGTGGACATGAAGCTGTTCCTGGGATTGCACTGGGAGTGACGAATATAGATGCACAAGTCAACCTGCCATGCTCAGAATGATGGCATTACAATTGTTACTCACATCATTCGCTTCGCTGCTGGTTTGCCGTCATCACCCGTAAGGCTTGTAGCCTCTGTGTCGCCGTGCAATCCCTGCGTTTCAGAAATTCGTCTGCAAGGGGGCGGAAGGCTGCCATAGTGTCAAGGCCGACCCTGCTGCAAAGTTCTTGTCATGTTTCGTCAATGCCCCTGGAGCTTGTATACCAGATTCTGAGAAGTGACTCTTCAAAGAACGCTTGAAGGAACCCTGAAAGAAGCCCCTAAAGCAACCCTTAAATGAATCCTCAAGGGAACCCTCCCAGCGACCCTTACGACAGCCCCTGAGACTATCGCTGAGGCTCTTCGACGCCATGCGCATCTCTTCGGGGAACTCCTTCTGCTGGGACCCACGTCTTATTCAAAGGGCCGTAAGACATCAAACAGGGTTTGGGAGGGGAGGTGTGGTTATAACAATAGGAAGGAATAAGAAGGAATCCTAAAGTCCTAGCGAAAAGAAAAGTCTTGTCACCTACGAATGTTCCATTGTTTTTGGGGCTTGCGGGATGCGTTTTTTTCTCCTCGATGTGTACGGTTTAGGGCCGGTGCGGCATCCAGCAGGACCAAATACAATACCTTCTAATCGCGGGAACACTTCACAAAGCTAGAAACGTTTCTCACTACGACTCGACCATATTCCTGGAAATGAAGGCGTGTTCGGCGTTCCGAGGGCTTGGGCGGAGGGGGTGTGGTGTCGGGTTTGGTTTCGTGTCTGTCCATTTAACCCGAGCAACCACTGCCGGTATCAACTACCATGTCCAGCTCAGGAGACGGAATTTGCGCGCGTTGCGGACGGATCCTACTGCCCGGACCTTCCGATATCAGTCGTACTAACTTACTGCACCCTTCAATGCGGCCCGAAACGTATCCATTTACACCTGGCCTAAAGAAAGAGACGAGGGCCTGGAGGAGCTGTACTCACGGAGTACATATATGGATGGTTGTCAAAATTAGGGTCCCCTTTTTGGGTATCCTAGAGCTTAGGTGCCGTACCATATTAGGGACTCAAAAAAGGGACCCTAATATTGACAACCACCCATATAGATGAGCTTTCAGTCATTGTTGGAGCTCTCTTTCGTCTTTCGTAGAAGTCTGGAGGGATGTGGGAGACCAGGATGCAGTCGGGTTCCTACACGGCATGTTGCGATGGGTTTAGGGTTTAGGGGTTTAGGGGTCATCGGGTTTAGGGTCTAGGGTTACAACGTATTGTTTTTATCGCTGCTACGAATCATCGTGCCCCTTCATTTCTGTCAGCGGTTGCCTGCACTCCGCATGCGCATTGTATCCTAGCCTACACTCCGAGAGCCGGCGGCGGGGAGTCAGGTCGGGAGAGAAGGAGGCCCAAAACATCCCGAACTCCTTATGCACATCGTGTTGTTGAGCGGATCTTCAGTGCATCGTTGACCCTCGTGTCCAAGCTTCCTCGGCCCAGAGATTCCTATTATATATGTAGCTAGGTACCTGCTGACTCGCAACAAGATTTCGAATCCGCCTGGGCGTACCAGTAATACTTGCAATACTATTGCAGGCCCCAGACCTCTGGTAGGCGGCCATTTCTTGGCTCCGGTCGTTACTGCATCATAGTTACTCGTCATCCTGGTGGTGATTTTGTAAGTCGCGGTAGTTCTCTCAATGGCCACCACCTCCAATTCCTACAGCCTAAAACCCGGACGGTTTCGCCTCCTTCGGAGTTTTGGAACCCTAAACCCTAGACCCTAAACCCTAAACCGGAATGAGAGGACTTTACTGCCGAGATGATGGCGAAGGACATCCAGCTTGGCCAAGGCGCGGCATGAATGTTCAGAGAGTAATACAGGGGCCTCAGTTAGACAAGAGCTTCTGGGGCATTTTGAGGTATTCGCATACTGCATACTGCAATGGTATTAAGAGGTGAGGAGCCACCCACAAGTACTACTAGTCTGTACTAGTACCAGTACTAGTCTATCTGTTGAGGCCATGTGCGGCCCCTCTGTTAAAGAATTGGCTGGTTTAGAACGTCCCTGGTGGATAGATTCAACACACAAGAGCACAACGATAGACTGAAACCACTCTTCAATCTTACACGGCCCTAGAAAACGGCAGTAATGACGAAGCAGGTTGTCAGCTGCCAGCCCAAACCCTAAATCTTCAGGCCTAATCCCCTAAACCCTAACACCCCAGCCCCCAAGCTCAAACCGCCATTCCGTTCCTGCGAGCCCTGTGAGATGCCTTTTGTTTTGCAGTTGAGCCGCTGTCGGCGAGCGTGCGAGCGTGGATTGCTGTAGTATACGGATCGACAAATTTAGGGATAGGACCATCGCTATGAAGAGTTATACTCTTATCATTTACTCCAAAACCCTATTCTAGCTATACAAGCCTTTGTACCAGAGCTTAGTGCAGCACTTTGGGGGATTGAACACATGACTGCATGGCATGATCCTTATTACGAGGGCCCTTGGATACAAGGGATTCCCGTATCTTTCAGAAACCCCCGTACATGGAAGGAGACTACGATCCCGGATAGAGACCACGCTTGGGGTGTTGGGATTAGGGTTCAAGGTTTCGAGGATGCAGAAAGTGACTCTGCGCAGTTCAATGGTTTCCAGACATTTTGGTCTTGGGTTCTGCCGTGTGTTGCAGCAGAGTTCGGAAACCGCAAGCGCTTTATTTTAGGATCCAGTGGTGTGTCGTAGAGGACCAAGAGGGACTTCGTACGACGAGTCTCTGTGTCTGTGTGAGTGGGTCTGTGTGGGTGGGGGTCTCCTCTAGTAGAGCTGTTAAAGGTTTTCGGGTTCAGGGTTTTGGGCTTGCGGACCTGTCAGTCCCTGCAAAGTCTGATAAGATTGCCTGTTCCTGGCACGACATTGCGGACTCCATACAAGAAGCCGGTAGGGTCAGATGAGGCTGAGGGTCCTATGGTTGGTGGGGACTCAGTTCCATGCAGGCTCTATGCCCTGTGCTGCCTCACCCTCAAAGGTTTGGCCGCAAAGCACGGCGTGCCCATGCTGATGCATGGCCAAGTCGCGCAAGTCTACGAAGCGTTGGCTGCAAGAAGGGGAGACGAGAGGAGTTTAGCAATGTATGTCATATAGTTACGGCACACATCAAGGCCCGGTGCATGAGTCTGCAATGTCATGTTTTCATATGACAGACGGTCTAGAGCTCACGGTGAGCCGGGGTTCAAGTCCAACTGTACAGTTGTTGCTGAATCGCAGAGGTTCGTGATTTGAATCAATTTCCCAGAACGGTTCAATTCGCGGCATTCTAGGTTTGAGGGTTTGGTTCGGGGATCGGGTAGGGTTAGCATGATTTACTGTTCCAGGTTCTTCGGGCTTAAGTTAGGCCACGCAGTGGCACCCTTTTTCCCTGTCTTACGCTGGGGTTGATTATGTCTCGTTTGGGGTTTGGATTTCAGGGTAGATACGCTTCAACGTCAATGAGCCACTAGGTAAATGGGGTTATAGCGGCTTCCACATGTATATGTGCCCTAAACCCTATAAACCCTAGACATGTAATAATGGTCCACCAAAAAGGCGTTACATGTCTATAATGTAGGATCTGTGCAATATGCACCCAAAGCCTCAACTGCTGGGACCCCGAACCAAGATGTGCTGCCATTTGGCGGTCTTAATTGTATGTATAATATACCCTAAATCCTTATTCCAATTATGAAGGCACCTACACTATGCTCGGCTGACAAAAATTGCTCATCACCGGCGAAACCTTCACATGGACCCCTGCAAACTTCTGCTAAAGCCAGTTTCTGCAGGAAGACGGACTGCACCGCACACTCATAAACCTTGAAACTGTAAGCCCTAAACTGCCTTAAACCCTGAGGCAAGACCCCCAGACCCCAAAAACTTTGTTTCTATACACGAGGTCTCCAAGACAACATCTCAGGGATCTGACATCGACGCTATAGCCACACAGGTTCCCCAATATCAACAAGCCTTTTTACCCTTACTCAGCTGCGGCTTGAAGGTTTAAGCTTTCAGGGGACGGTCTACTGGCTTGGGGGTAAAAGGGTCTAGGTGTTCGGGGCTTATGGCTTAACGTTCAAGCGGCCTTTTTTTTGTGGTTAAGGTGTCATAGCGTGCGTGCTCCGAGGAGATGTGCATGGCCAAGTATGGCCGGGACTCTGGCTCCACCATTCCGGTGAAGCTGGTTGAGGATGCCTGTCTCCTGTCTGCCTGTTTTGTACTGTAGACCCTTAATCAGTAGCTCCCACTCCTCAACGAGGGTTATAATAGAGATGCGAATGGAGTTTACTAGGCAGGGAGGGGTCGACATTTGGTGTTCCTTCTTAGTCTGTAGGGTCCAAGGCTTTTGACCTTGCAGGATGGACCGTTTGGGAGCGTCTGAAAGTTCTGGACTTGCTGGTCAATGGTAGATTCCTCCATCCCCCACTTCCTTAATGATACGAAAGATGATAACTCCCTCAACCCTAAGCCCTAAACCCTAAACCGATGGGATAATTTGGGAGCCGAGGTCAGACGCCTCTGGCCGACGAGAAGCTCCGGGAAACCTTTAAGGATTGGACGTACACCACAGAGCAACTCGGCTTGTTCTGCGCGGTACCAGCTGACTTGCAGCCGGAGGTTAAATAAAAAACAAAAACACAGGTCAAAGGCAAGAACGAACGATATGCTCTGAAACGCTGTTGCTGCCGTCTTTGCAGCCGTAGTCTTAGCAGTTAGCACGTCTGTATTGCAGGAAGCGCATGGGTAGTGGGGAAATGAAGCCAAAGCTAGGCTCTTCAGTTACTTCAGTTTCAAAGGCGCCTTCACGTGGCTCATTCTTTCCTGCGTTTGTGGTTGAATGGGGATGTTGGTTTCCGTCGTTGACATAGACGTAATAATTATACCGCGATGCTGGTGGCATGGGTTTTTCGCGATTCATTAGTATCACGAGATATCACGAGCAGGAGCAAAACACCCCCCCCATCCCCACAGAACAACACACGGGGCACCAGGCTTTGTTGCTTCTACTCATGTACAGGCGAAGACCGTGGGGAACAACAGCAGAACAGCACTGTAACAACAGCCCTCCCCCCGGAACAACATACGGGCACAAGGTTTTGTCTCCAGTCTTGTCGAAGAGACCAAAGCAAGAAGTTGTTGTTGGAATGGGGCTCCTGTTTTTGTTCATTCCATCTTCTTGTTGTTGTTGCTGCTGTTGTTTTTGTTTTTTTTGTGTTGTTCCCCTTCGTGTTGTTGTTGTCGTAGCAGGAGTATTGCTGCAGGCTTGTAGAGCCCTGAAAAGTTCGAATGCGGGCGCTAAGTATTCCGGCCCGAACTAAGGATCGTGGACGGCAGCTACGCCATCGTCCACAAAAACATCGAAAATCCACATCTGGACATCAGCCGCAAGATCTCCTGAATTGCTCCAGGCCGTGGCCTTCGTCTCATCCACCCTTATAGGACCCCATATCCATAGAAACCCTGAAAAGGATCCATTAAAGAAGCACTTATGAGATCCCTCATAGGACCCCATACCGAAAGAGCCATTCTGTCGTAGGCATACGTCCTGCGTGGAGAGATCATTTGTAGTTGTCATGGTAACAATGGCGAGAAGGTCTGGACGCAGGGGACATTATCTAGACCGTCCATCTACCCTCAGTTAGACCCTGTATGCCCAGCACTACTACAGACTATATACTTCCCAATTCGAGGGTACGAGGTCTTGGTACAAATCCAAACTTAGCCGTTAAGTTTCGGCTTTCAGTCAGCAGCTGCATTGAGGTCGGCGGAAAAGCCAGCGCGACATAGAACATAGAACAAGGAGTCCTTCACTAAGCTCGGGTTTTAGGGCCTCAGTGTTAAGCAATTTAGAGGCCAATCAAGGGATTATCCCCTCGTGATAGTAAAGGGTCAGAAGAATCCGGAATAGTATCCCTCCATAGCCCACTTATGTCTCTTTACTGTAGATATTTAGTAGTATACCTCAAAGCCGACTTCGAATCTTCCTGGTTATTTGGTTAAAAACCTGTTCATGGCACAAAAGGGCAGCGTTACTCTTTGTACCATATTCTCCTTATTGATGTTGTTAACATGGGAGCTTCTAGATTTCGACCCCACGTAGCAACGCCCTTGCAATGCAAGGTCTCGTGTCTTTAAAGAAAACTCATATGCTGACACTGGATTGTTCGTTGTATGGACACGGTGGGAAGCTGAGTAAGCAACATCTCGGTGCAAACCACAGGGATGCCAGAACCTAAATCAAAATCCCCGGCAAGAGCCAAGGGAGGCTTAATGAGGTTTCTTCACTGGCTCGCGCCCTGCTTGAGATGCTGTTTGCTGTATCCTTTCGGCTCTTCTTAAATGTTTTCCTTTCTGGGCTCACTGGGCAGTGCATTGACAAATTGAGCAAACGAAGAAGCCTGAACAACAAATCCTAAACTATTCCTTCGGGTTCCCAAGAACAATCTACTGTGGTACCAGCATCGTAACAGCCTTGCAGAACATTGTGAATGGGCAGCTTCTACATCTACAGTAGAAGCCAGAAAATTGGAATATGATTGTCCTAAACCCTTTATGGTCAATTACAAGGTATCCTACCCTGAAACCATATTCCAACTTTCTGGAGTTCCCTTTACTTCCTCAAGCCTGAATTACGAATTCTGAGGATCTTCAGGTTTCTGGATTTCAGGGCTTTGGAAATTTCGGGTTCAGGGTGTCGAGGTTTAGGGAACAGGAAGGTTCCCTACCACGACCGAACCCTTCCGCAGTTTGTGTTTCCCTGCAGGCTCGGGGTTCAGAGACTTTATAAGAACTAGGTTGGCTTTTGGGACATTTTCTATTTTCCTTATTTGGGTTTATAAGGTACCCTGTATATGAATATTTTTCAGGGTGTTCAAAGGCCAACCCAGAGAAGGACGGCTATGGAAGTTTGCGGTCATCCCCAGTTTAGAAACCTGAATGGCTGATGCATACGGCATACTATTCCCCACGGCTCCCGACCATAACTTATATAGTATAACCCGCACCCCAAGCAGAACATATAGTTGAACGTGACTAACCCTCAGCTCCATGTACCCATATAGTATATACTTAGGCCTTAAGGTACCTATATAGGGACCCCTTCAAAATTTAAGAATCTACTACAAAGCTACATGGAGCCTTTGGTTAAAGCCCCTGTTTTTGGTATTACCTTATAGGGTTCTAAATATATGAACCCCAGAAAGGAACTACGATGGAGCATATGGGTAGCCGGAAGTTGATCCTAATCTTGCCATCGAGTTCGGGTTTGTTTTGGCTCCGGGTTCAGGATCTAGGAGTGCAGTGTTTGCATTACAGGTTAGGCTGCGACTGTTTTTTGTGGCAGGTCGAGAGCTTGAAACCTCCTTGAATCCACACTTTCAGGTCAAAGACTTAGTCTAAGCCGCAAAATCCAGAGGGAAAAGTGTAAATCGACTGTTAACTCTACCACGTTGTCTAGTGCGCCCAATTATCACAACCAAGTGTGACGACAACGGCGCCAGCAGCGGCCACAACAACAGCGTGTGAACACATGTACTGCAGAATTGGCTCAGGACACCTCGAAGTTTTGAGTTTCCTTGCTTTATAGTGTTTCTGGAGACTTCGTTTGCAAGCATGGGCTGCAGTGCATCCGCAGTGTTGCATGCGAGCGAGCCAGGCCGCTGGGAGACCAGCAGAAGCATAGACCCACGCCTTTCAAGCCCCGTAATATAGGGGCCGTAATAATTACCGATACTATTTTGTGGTTCCTTCGTATAATTATAGTATAATGGGCCCCAAAAGCCTCAGCCTCACCCAGACCCCCGGGAGGATCCAAAAAGTAGATCCCTTAATGGGGGCTCCTAGAAAGCACCCTTAGTAGAATTCTACTTTCTAGATCCTGGGGTCTGGGCAGTTTCAGTTCCCAAGGTTCTCCAAAGTCTGTCCTGAACGGCTTCGGAGGCAAGGACGTGGACATGGAGATCGACTTCGTGGAACCAAAGCAAAGCTATGTGTCCATGCGCCAGACATCTGGGTTACGTGCCATGAAACAGCCTGGCCAACCCGAGAAGAGCTGCCACGATGCCTATTTGAACCGACTGAACAAGGTCCTGAACCTTGGTTCCGCTGGTACAGTTTTGCTCACACGTAATGCTACAAATATGTATCAATATATATATATATACAACTATATACATAGATGTATATAACTATAACTGTGTGCATATTTATATAACTATATATATATAACTATACCTATATATATATATATATAGAACCTACGTGCAGATACATGTTTTGCACACACAAGTCTAGCAATGTTCGTGCCTTGACAGCTCAAGACCAAAAGCTTTCGGGCCTACCTTGTGGGTGCTGTGAACCTCCATCCCATGGTCACAGCTTCTGTCTTGGTGGGTCATATACTATAATGTCAAGGTCCTGAAAGTGCTGGACTCTCCTTCGGAATTCATGGATGTGTCGCAACGCAACAGACCCAAGCACTACAGGTACTGGATGACAAATGAAAGTTCCATGTTTCACATACCAACAATCGTTTGGGGAGCCCTTAGGTGAAGGAGGCAGCCAGGAACGGTAACACGGAAGCCTGCGAAATACCCAGTACTCTCCCTTGCGGTTCCTTTTTCTAGCCATATACTTAATCGAAAGCACCCCAAAGCCCTCTTTCAATCATTCAGGCCCCTGCAGTAGCCCTAAACTTGGCCCTAAACCCGACCTTCAGCACAGGAACGATATCGCTCACGGATCCTGGGAACTCACCGCCGAAGTGGACGCAAGACGTGTTCAGCTCGACAATGCCGCCTGAGATGCTTTTTGTTGAGCCTTCGAGTTAGGGGCCACAAAAGCGCATAATCATTAGCATTGTTCATTGTACAACGATATCCCGACCTATTGGGCTTCATCATACAAAAGTATCGCGTTCCCAATCGTTGCTCATGCTCTTTTGGGGTCCTGCGATGGAGTTTTGTTTAGGGTGCGGAGCGTCGGTGGTTCGTATTTTCCCATCCCTAGTTTCGTACAGAAGAGCTGCTGGAGTCAGGATGGATCCTCGCCTAGCTTCGGTTTAGGGATTAGGGTTTGAGCTGCAAGCATATTCCCAGTCTCTCCGCATGGCTCCTGTTGTCAGTAATGCTGTCCTGAGAATGTCCAAATCCACTGAGACGGTTTAGGTCCACAGGTGTGTGACCCAATCCTTTTTCCTTTAAACCGTAAATTGGTTGAAGATCTGGCTCCAGTTAATCTCGACAGTTTGGCTCCTTTCAAGTGCTGCCATGCCTGATTCTCATCGAACCACGCGATCTGACAGAAGCCCTTCTCGCAGACGAGTCTGCGGTGCATTCAGCAAATGTAAGGTGACCAGCTCGGGACGGGAGTCAAGCTGCATCCTGCCAGCCAGTGCAGGACACACTGCTGCGCCTGATGATCTCCCGTGACCCTATTGAGGATTAGGGTTGAGGGTTACAGATTAGGGTGTTTAGGGGTTAAGCCCTTTACCTTAATTCTCATTGCCATTACTCTTGTTGCTGCCTTGTTTGTGGCTGTTGTTCCGTAATTATACATGCTGCCTCGTCCGGGCTGTGTCCGTTTCTTTATCTCATCTGCAAGCTGCAAGCTCAACCCGTTATGGATAA